CTAATGCATCTTTCCCGGATTCGCCATGAACCTACTAATAATACTGACCGCATGTGAAATATCTGGTCGTGTACACCATAATTGCATACATCAAACTGCCAACTACACTAGCATAAGGTACACGCTCCATGTGTGCCTTCTCTTTCACTGTAGTGGGAGATTGTTTACCTGAGAGCCTGAAGTGTGGAGCTAATGGATTCACCACTGACGTAGCACTTTGCATCCTAAACCTTGCGATAACCCACTTAATGTAGCCTTTCTGACTCAAAAAAATCACTGATTTGCCCGCTCTCTTGTAATCTCCATTCCCAGTATTTTCTTAGTAGTGCGCATGTCCTTCATCTCAAACTCTTTACTAAGTTGAGATTTCAATTTTTCTATCTCCACCTTGCTTCTCGAAGCAATAAGCATGTCATCCATATACAAAAGAAGATAGATATAATCACCTTCATGAAAATTCTGAATATAGACACAGTAGTTATAATCGCTTCTGGAGAACCCATGCTTTAACATGAATGAGTCAAATTGCTTGTACCACTACCGAGGAGATTGTTTCAATCCATAAAGTGATTTCCTCAAGTAACATACATGATTCACCTTATCCTCAACCTTGTAACCCTCAGGCTGATGCATATAGGTTTCCTCCTCCAAGTCTCCGTGCAAGAAGGTTGTTTTGACATCGAGTTGTTCCATCTCAAGATCACGATGAGCAACAGTACTCAATAGCACACAAATAGAAGTGTGTTTCACCACCGGAGAAAAAATCTCATTGTAATCCACACCCTCTCTTTGTGCAAACCCCTTAGCCACTAGCCTAGCCTTGTACCTTGTACCGCCAAGCTCGGAAGGATCCTCCTTTCTCTTGTACACCCACTTACAACCAATAGCGTGTTTTCCTACAGGCAATGGGATCACCTCCCATGTTTTGTTCTTCCGGAAAGATTCCATCTCTTTCTCCATCACAGACAACCAACGCTCACTATTCATGTCCCGAATAGATTCTTTGAAGATGACCGGCTCATCATCCTCCATCGAGAGTGCGTACTCAACCAAATTTACCTGCCCATAGTGGTTCAGAGGCCGATCTAACCCCAACTTCTGAACCTTCTTGTATGCTCGTCTTAGCCTAGTGGAAACCAAACTATCTTCGAGCTGCTGTTGTTGTAGTGCTTATACATTTTCTTACTAAACCTCCTCCTTTTCAAGCTCATCATCTTCATGATCCTCCTCGTAAATATGACTAGAACCTGATTGGTCTTTAGGTTCTATTTCAATCACCTGGGACTTAGAGGTCCCAACAGTCCCAACACCATCATTCTTGGATGCCCTAGCAATCATGGATTTCTCATTAAAGGTAATATCTCTGCTAATCATGAATTTAGAATCTTCTGTACACCAAAGGCGATAGCCTTTTACGCCCTTTGCATACCCCAAGAATTTTGCCTTCTTGACCCTCGCGTCAAATTTTCTCTCGTTAACGTGATAGTAGGCGGTACATCCGAAAATCTTGAGTCTATCATAATCTGCATGCTCCCCTGACCATACTCGATATGGTACATCACCATCCAATGTTGAATGTGGAGAATGATTCACTATGTAACAAGCTGTAGCAACCGCTTCTGCCCATCATTCTTTGCCCAAACCAGCATATGATCGCATACCCATTGCTTTCTCTCGCAATATACGGTTCAGTATTTCTACGAGTCTATTTTGCTATGGTATAGACCTGACTGTCTAGTATCGAGCAATACCCTCATGATCACATAACTCTTTGAAAGCACCGTCTGTATACTCTGTACCGTTATCATATCTCAGTGTTTTCAAGTTCTTGCATGTCCTGTTCTCAACCATTGCTTTTAACTTCTTAAATGTCTCAAATACCTTATTTTTATGCTTAAGAAAATAAATCTAAGTTTACTTAGAATAATCATCTATAAACGAGACAAAATACCTGAAACCACCCTTAGAAGTTGTCTGAGTCGGACCCCATAGTCTAATATACCTCTGCTCTTGTGCTTGCTTCTCAGAAACTAAACTTTGTGCGCCTTTCTATACACACAATCCTCACACAAACCTATGCAATATTTTTTTATGTTCTTCAGCAAACCTTCCTTACCGAGCAGATCTAGACCCTTCTCTGATATGTGCCCAAGTCGCCTATGCCATAACCAAGTGTGCTCACATGAGTCTCCACCACTTTCATCAGTTCCAACCACTGCATATCCTGTCACTGTCGTACATGAGAGAGTATATAGATTACCATGACGAATACCCTTCATATCACTACTAAGGAACCCCGAACAACCTTCTTTACTCAGTTCTCTGTTACTATCTTACAACCACCAGAGTCCAAAGCACCAGCTAAGATAAGGTTCTTTCACAAGTTAGGAACGTGCCTCACATCCGTCAGGGTTCTGACACTCCATCATGCATCTTGATTTTGATATCGCCAAGTCTCACCATTTTACAAGCATGGTTATTTCCCATCAATACGGTTCCACCATCAATGTTTCTATAGGTAGTAAACCACTTCTTATTTAGACACATATGGTAAGAGTAACCTGAATCAAGAATCTATTTACCAGAGATATCTTCGCCACTGGTAACAACATATCATTCCTTATTGCTCCCTTCCTCCGAGACGTAACTCGCCTCTTCCTTGCCTTCTCTCCTCTCGGTTTTGTTGTTCTTTTTTTTACCTACTCTCTTGTTAAGATAATTAGCCTCGAAATGCTCAAGCCCACTGCATTTGAAACATGATCTTCCCTCAAGAGGTCTTAATTTCGATCTAGACTTTCCTCCCTTGCTTTTTCCTTACTCATTACCCCTTCCTCTTACAAACAATCCTTGTGCTTGTTCCTTGTTACCACTAGTAACCATGTTACTGGTTGTAATTTTCCAAAGATCATCCGCTAAAAGTATCGTTCTAGTCCCATCCATCTTCAAATTATCACCTACAAGTATCAAAGTTTGTATCAGGTTCTCATAACACTTCGGTAAAGAAAGAAGTAGAAAAAGTGCTTGATCCTCATCTTCTACTGTCACATCAATGTCCTTCAAATCCGATATGATCCTATCGAACTTGTTGATGTATTCTTGGATTGACGAGCCTTCCTCCATCTTACAAGTATACAATTTGGATTTCAAATAGATTTGATTTGTTAGACTATTCGTCATGAAGGTACTCTCTAACTTTGACCGCAAGCCCGCAGCCGTTTCCTCTCCATCCACTAAGAAAGTAATGTCCCTCTCAAGGCATAGGATAATCGATGCTTGTGCTTCGAGATCTAACTCTTCTCATTCCTCATCTGACATATCTTTGTGCTTCTTTTCTCTTCCCGCCAAAGCCTTGTGCAATTTTTACGAGATCAGCGAATTTTTCATATGCATCCTCCAATAGGAAAAATCATTCTTCCCATTGAATTTCTCGATCTCATACTTTCTCACTTTAACTGTTTTACTTGTAGACGTCATTCTCCGCTTGTATTAGTAAAACCGTCTCTCTCAGAAAATTTTAACAAATACCTTGTGTGCACCACACAATAACCAAAGCAGCACCTCATATCAGAAGTTTTACCACCACCAATCTGAATAAAGGGCTCTGACACCAATTGTTGGGATTGAACGACCCACTTAGCCGCGAAAGCTAAATCAACCCTTCAGAGAATAACCAACGCAAGCAATGACGTAATCACAGATAAAACAATAAGTAAAGAAGATGAGACAATATATTTACGTGGTTCGGCAAACTTGTCCACGTCCACAGGAGCCACACAAATAATTTCTTATTTAACCACAAGAAATTACAAAGCTTCTAAAAGAGAATTTCTCAAACTTGAGATCTCTATACAGTACCGCGTGTGATTTATTCAACTAAATAAATAACCGCTCAATCTCAATTTTCTTGACCGAAAATTGCTTCTCAAATCACCTTTGAGGACCGCCGCCACTCCTCATATCTGACAAAACGCGAGATGAGTCTTAACTCCTCTCGTGAACAGGGTTTCCCTTTTATAGGGAAACCCTAGGGTGATCTCCAGCTGGCTTCCACTCCACGCGAAACAACAGGAGAGCTTCCTCGCCTCGCCTCTAGACAAGCAGGCGAGCTCCAGGGCTTCCTCGCCTCACTTGCCCGCACCTCACCCGCAAAGTGGGCTTCCTCGCCTTGCCTCTCAACGTAGGTGAGATCCGCCGTTCTCTTCAATTTTAGTAAGAAAAATATATCAAAACGTGGAAATATAACCGTGTTTCACACAAGCTAAAATACTAATTGTCTTGAATTGGTTATAGCCATAGCCATTCATCCCAAATAAATAACATTTATGGAGCAGAATATCCTTCATAACGTCACTTAACAACAAAGCCAAACTACAAACACCAACTTAAACACAGAACAAAAACAAACTTAATTTGCATCCATCCAAGACTAGACCCATCCTTGCTTGGTCCTGCGGACGATATCCTCAGCCATGAGCGCACAAGGTACATAGTTAATGTACATTGACATCATCTAAGAGTTCACTTCTAGATAGTTGATTTGCACTATATAAATCATCACAGTGCAAAGTTCCAGTTTAATTGAAAACCCAAAGTTTAAAACTGGATCTATACAACCCACATCTTAGACACAATCAATAATAGTCTAACCCAAACCAGTAAGGATTATATTAAATAGGGTTAATTGAGAATAGACCCCATATACTATTGCTCGATGGCGGGTAGCCCTCCCCTAATTCTGTTGTTGCACACATATAGCCCCGGGGTGAACTTTTTTGACTCTTCTACCCTCAGGG